AACACTCTTGCAGAAGTGGGAGAGAATTGGGTGTGTTTGGAAAAGCAAGGAGCCCTACTTGGCTTCGCTGTGACACAGGGTATGTTTAGAAGTGGCTGGGAAGGTAAGTTAAGACAGTGTTGTAGAGGGCTTTTGAGTGATAGGGTGTTTGATAGGTGTGTGAACTCAGGGCCCTGCAGATACAGTATTCTGACTATGGTATGGATAGCATGCTATGGTCAGACTGTTGCAACAGTCAGAGGGGAGGAACCAGGGAAGGTCTAAGGGCATCTTTAATCGCCTGGAATTGGCCAGGTCACATAGATCACCCTTTTGGTGGAGTGCGGGCATTCTCCCATTCAGAATGACCTTGCTCACTAGGTCCAGAATCTTTCCTGGGCTGTCTAGAGATTCCACACCCCTAGTCCGACATGCACTGTCAGCAGATTCTTTCTGACACTTACTTGGTGGGAAAGTGGAAAAGGACAGGCTGGTTTTCTGTTGTCCCTACCTCCCAGTATGAGACCTGGTTTTAACCTAAATTCCTCATTCTGAAATCCAGTCTGGAAACTTCCCTGACCAGCTCTCTGTCCTTCTTTGGAACAGTCCTCTGTACTGTTATTTGGGTACCTTAGCCTTCTTTCCCGGCTTGGTTGCCCCTCTTGTTCCAGTATTATCCCCTCCAATAACCAGTGTGAGCAACTCAGCCTTGGTTCTGGAACACTAGTCTGGTAGAGTGGGGGAAGCTGACCCCTACTGCCTCGCTCTGACCTCCCTGTCTGCTGCCTTCCTCCAGACAACCTCTCCTACATTGAGCACATCTTTGAGATCTCCCGCCGTCCTGACCTACTCACTATGGTGGTTGACTACAGAACCCGTGTGCTGAAGATCTCTGAGGAGGATGAGCTGGACACCAAGCTAACCCGTATCCCCAGTGCCAAGAAGTACAAAGGTAAGAGGCGATGCCTTTAACATAGCTGCACCTCTGCTCCCTCCTACCGATTATCCTTGGAGTACTCGAATTTGGGGAGCGTGGAGGCTGATGCTCGATGGACCTGCCTGGCGTCTCCCACGACTTCTGTCCCTGGACACACATTCCTTTTTGCCCCCAGACATTATCCGGCAGCCCTCTGAGGAAGAGATCATCAAATTGGCTCCCCCACCGAAGAAGGCCTGAGCAAGGGGGAGGAAGAGGAGGAAGGTTGGACCTTCATCGGACCACTCCCTTCCCCCATCCTCCAGGGGAGGGGGCAAGGGCAACCCCCCACCTACCCACTTACTAACCTGGTCCTAACCCCCTTTCTGTGCGCGTGTGTGTGCGTGTGCGCACGCTCTGGCTGTCTGTCTATATGTCTAGCTCATCTAGTTCCTCCTTGTGAGGGGATGGGGGTCAAGGGCTGGGGGAGGGAGCATAGTTTCCCCACTCTAGAGGGAGGTGGAGGCTGTTTCTATGCAAGTGGAAATTGGCACATTCCTGCTACTTCTCTATGCTCCACGTTCCCCCCACATCTTTAAAGTGTGGAAGCAGAAGGACCTGCATTTTCCACACGAGGAGCTGAGGTGGGGGTGAGGTAGGGAAGAGGTGGATGGATCTGAGGAAGAGCAGAGAGAAGGGAGGGAAGATGAAGAGGCTACCCAGCCCCCACCTGGAAGGGGCAGAGAAAAGTCAGAGTCAGTGTTTGTCCTGCCATGCTGGACTGGCTCCATGGTCCAGTTTCCTGCTGTTCCTTGGGTTGGAGGGCTGGGGTGCCAGCAGGTCCTTTTTTTGCTCCCCTCATGGGCCCAGGATAGAGGTATGAGCCAGGCATCTAATGAGAGACCACTGGATCCTTTCGTAGCCCCTAACACTAAACTCCATGGAGCAGCCATGCCCATGCCCATTTGTGCTCTGGAGATTCTGCTGGGAACACGCCCCACTGAGCCTGAGATGGGGATGAGGGCAGAGGCAGGGGAGCCCCCCTTTCCACTTCTTTATTCCTACTCAGACTGTTGCACATACAGACTTTGAACCTATGGAGGTTGGCGAATGAGATCCTTAGGTTTTAACCCCAATCCTGACCCCACCTACAGGGTCCCAGCGTGGTTATTGCAGGCAACCTTCCCTTTCTCCTTGGTCAAGAACACCTCAAGCCAGAAGGAAATTAACTACAGTGTTTTCCTTTGCACTGATCCCCACCCCAGTCCGGTCTAGGAGGGGACTTAGTAACCTTTCTCACTTGATATCCTGGCCCCTTGGGCTTGTGGACGCCTCCTAGCCAAATCACTAGAGTACAGTGAGTGACCCCAGCCTCCTGCCTATCCCAAGATGCCACTCCCCACCCCGACCGTGCTAACTGTGTGTACATATAATTCTACATATATGTATATTAAACCCGCACTGCCATGTCTGCCCTCTTTTGTGGTGTCTAGCATTAACTTATTGTCTAGGCCAGAGTGGGAGTGGGAAGGGAATGCCACAGTGAAGGGAGTGGCAGAGTCAAATTGCTACATAGTCCACACAAAAAAGAAAGCTCTTTAAAAAAACATTAATTCGCATGCAATCTCAAAGACTATTTAGAGAAAGCTGAAGCTAGGAGCTTTTAGGATGTAGGAGCAAAACTTTGGTGGGAGGAGAGAGTTGGCTGTTGGGAGAAGGAAGAAGCCAGACTAGTTAGAGAGTACCCTTGACTCCTAGCCTAGCCCAGCCCAGCCTGCCCATCCCCTCTGGCCACTGCTGCGGACACCTGCCTTAACACACACACCTCGAGGACTCCACGGTTTTGCCTTAAAGGACCTTCCCGAGTCTCCCCAGCCTTGTCTGGCTTCTCCCTTAAGAAGAGAGATAGTTGTAGGATTGGAAGGGGGGAAATGAGCACGACCCGTCCTTTCATTTGGGATATGTCATATGAGAGCGAGGAAGAGAACATGGAGTCTTCCTTACGGAAGAAATGGGAGAAGAGAGACAGGGTCATCTTCAGCAGAGTCTACTAGTTTCTCTGTAAGGCAAAATAATCTAGAAAGACTAACCGGCCCACCCACCCCTTGTAGCTGTGAGATGGTCTCTTTCCTGTGCTCCTCTGTCTGCAGTGTGCACGGCCTTGTCCTAACCCTGGAATAAAGGTGATTGACTGTACTGTACCTAATTGATTTAAAAATTTCTGTGAGTGATCAAGAATTTGGAGCCTCTGGATCACTGGGAGGGGGGAGGAGCAATATTTACCCCCACATCCCTCACTGCAGCCTGGAATGGGGCTAGGAAAATGCCCCAACCCCACTCCCATCTCCTAAATATCACTGAGCCAAGTGGAGCCTCTTTTACTTGCAGTAGTCTCCCACCAGCTCAAGCACTGGAAACACAGATATGGACTGGACTTCCTAACACTAACATAGGCAGTTTGAGGGAAGGGCTAGCATCTACATGGGAAGGAGCAAAAACAGGCTATCATGAATGAATGTACCACATACCACACAAAGCAGCAGTCGGTGGGCGGGGGGAAGCTTTACTTAGAGAAAATACAACAAATTCCAGAGTGCACGTTTTTCAGCCCACCCCATCGACCCACTAAGCAAGAGGAACACAGACCACTTGGTCACCACACATTCCCTACCTCAGGGAGGGGGTGCAGCAGCGACATCTGGTCTGAGCACTGCAAGGAAAGGGGCATGAGAAAGGAGTGTCTGGGGACTCCATCCTCACACTCTTCCCCTCCTTCCTGGCCTGTTTTAGTAGAATCTGACTGTCCCAGGATGCAGATTTCCTGATTGGATTTTGTGGAAATTGGGGGCAAAAAAATAGCAGCAAAAGCATTTAAGGGCAAGAATTCCACTGGGACTTTTCAGTGACCAGTGATAAGACAAGGCTCCAGCCATTGTGATCAGTCCTTAGACGACCGACTTGCTCCTCAGTCCTAAATTATTAAGAGGTGGACTAGGTCTGTAAGTCAATCCCAGGAAGTCTTTCCCTTCACTCTTCCGTTAGGAAGGGAGCTGGCGTGGATGTGGATGGCTTAAAGAGTCCAGCAGCTAAAGGTAAGAGTGTGCGTGTGCGCGTCTATGTGTCGTCTGTCACACACAGACCAGAAGAGCAAGTCTGCCATGGTGGCACCCTTCCTAAAGTCAGAGTCCAGTCAGGTTTTAAAGACAGGCCAGCCCTGGGTTGGAAAAGTCATTCTGGTAAGCCCCACAAGACTCAAGGAGAGGTAGATCTCAGGCAGAGTTGAGAGGAATTTCCTGTTTTTCCCAACCTCCACAACAAGTTAGGGAAACAGGAAGGGCAGAACTGAGGATTCTTGCATTCTTGAGCCTCCTAAAACCTAAGGGGTAAGCTCCATCTCTAATGGTCATATATGCAGAGGGTAAGCTGACCCCAGGTGTCACTTCCACATCATTACTCTTGCTCACTCTTCCTTTAAGTCCCTTTATTGCATTCATAGAGAATATATAGGTATTTAAACTTTGACAATAATTTTACCTTGATACATCCAAGTTTGACTTGCTTTTTAATATATTTATAGATATAAAATTAGGCCTCTAACAGTGATAGGACAGGGAGATTGCTGCCACCAAAAACTTAAAAAAAAAAAAAAAGAGGTAACATCCTTCCTATTCTTTCTCCACCTCTGCCCCTTCTCCCTCCTCTCCCCATCCTCCCTCCCCTGACCTACTTAGGGGTGATGGGATGAAGAGGAGAGAGTGAAGGAGACACAATCAAGTGCAAAACACTGTGATAAGTACAGAGGATGAATGAGGTGGAAAGCAAAGAGTGTGGGATGGTCAGGGGCTCCGAGGACTTCCCAGAAAATCAGGATCCTGGGATGGGGTTGCTGGGGGCTGGGGTGGAAAAGGGGAACAATGGAACTGTCATAGACTTTTAAAAAAACAAAGAAAAAGTCCAAAACCTAAACCAAAGAGAGAGTGGCGCTCCTGCCCCCAACTCTGGCCCTTGGTACTGAATAGCCAGTTGTTCCCCCCACCCCTCTGCCCAAGAAACAAGGGAGGTTAAAGACAAAGAAAACCATTCCCTATCCCAAACCAGTTAACAAAATAGGCTCCCTTCTCCCCTCAGAAAGAGGCCTTGGGGAGAGGCTACTTCTGCGGAGTCCTATGCATGTCCCCACGGAACCCTACTCCAGGGCTCCACTCCCATCCTAGGGACTCTCTGTTGGTTCATTCTCCTCTGGTGTGTCCTTCTCCTGGGATGTCTTTCTTTTATCTAAAGCAAAAAGTCCAAAGTGCGTTTCTGCTGAAAGTAAGAGCCTGGGATGGGAACAGGTTGCCCAGGCAGGACTGGGTTGGCAGCCCCAGCCCGCCCCACCTAGGTACGAGGCCTCAGGATGGCATGCACTGCACCCGGTCAGGGCCCTCCTCCTCGTCCGAGGTGTCTGAGGAGCTGGGAGACTCATCGGAGTCTGCGTCTGTGGTCCCAACCCCAGGTTCTCGCCAGCGCTGTGGAATGGGAAAGGCTTGTTAGTAACATTCCCGAATGGAACAAGGACAAGCCTGTTAAGTCTTAGCTAGAATTCAGATGCTTTAGGCCAGGGATGAGCAGAAGTTTTCTAAAAAACCAGGAAATCGATAACAAATATTGTGGACCATACGGTCTCTGCTGCATCTACTCAACTCTACCACTGTGGGATGAAGCCCTAGATGATACACAATGGGTGGAGCTGTGTTTCAATAAAACATTACTTACAAGAACCAGCAGGCTGAGGTGAGTGAATTGCCTGAGCCCACGGGTTCGAGACCCACCTGGGCAACTTGGCGAGACCTCATCTCTACAATAAATCAAAATGAGCCAGGCATGGTAGTACATGCCTATAGTTCCAGCTACTTGGAAGGCTGAGGCGGAAGGATCGCTGGAGCCCAGCAGGTTGAGGCTGCGGTGGCCGGGAGCGGCCACTGCACTCCAGTCTGGGTGACAGAGTGAGACTCCAACTCAAAAGCAAAACAAGAACTAGCAAAAGGCCAACTGCCAGTTTGCCAACCCCTGCCCTAGGCCTCTTCTGGCATGCAAGGAAAAACGGAAGATCACCCTGAGATTAGTTCTTCCCTACTCCTTCCCGCCTCCTGCCTTTGCCTTCATGAAGAGGGCATTATCCATGTATGGAGAAGGAGAACAAGCAGGTACCACCCTTTTCTGTGGGTGGCTCTTCCAAGGCTTTATCAGGGCTCTCAGGGGAACAGGAGACAATGGATAGGAAACCCAACCAAGACCACCTGATTCCTACTAAAGTCACTACTCTGAAAGTTTTTAGCCCTCTTGGGAGGGTCACTGCCCTTGGGAACTCACTCCAACCCCTGCTTACCCGGTGATGGCGTCTCTGTCTCAGGTGGTGCATGAGGAACCAGAGCATGTGGCTATCAAACAAGTCAGTGTGGTGCAAGCTATCTTCATCCCGCTCCCGCTTGTTTTTCTTAATCACCTGGAACCCAAAAGTGTTGGGGGCAGAGGCAGCAATGAATAAAGAAGGCTGGTGTTCTATCCTAATAAAAGCTTCCCATTAAGATGAAGTACAGCCAGGTTAGATTAGGAAAGGATGCCCCAGGTTCAGCCACTTAGAAGATGGGAGGATTTAGAGTAATTCCTCCTGAAGATGCTCTTACCCAATTCCACTACCAACTAGTGGCACTTCACAGCTGCCATTGGAGCAGGACTGACCCTACTGAGGCAGACAGGAATGTGGAGGAGGGTATTAGAGCAGAGCCTTTAAAGAACTGGGCAGCAAGTTATTCCTTCCTAAGAAAATGAAGAATCACAATATGTGGACGAGCAGAAAGAAGAGAACCCAGTCAGCCACTTACATCCTTCAACCCTGTCAGCTCAGTGGAAGCTTCAGCTGTGGGTGCCCAGATTTTCACATCATGGTCTAAGCCGCTGGTTGCCAGCACAGGCAGGTGAGGGTGGGGCTCCAGACAGTTCACCTGGTCAGGAAGAAAGGCAAACACAGACTCAGGGGTGGGTGGGAGCAGGATTTAAAGAACACTACTCTACTTGAGTTAATAACTGCCCTTCATCAGGGCTGAGGCAACTGCTTGAAAGGAAGCCCACCCATCCTGTGCCCAGGCCCTATGGCCCTGGGGGCAGAGGAACCCACCAGAAACAGACTGGGTGTAAGACCAGGCACATCTATCATATCTATATATAGGTCAGGGATGGCTTCATCCTCAGGGACAGTCCTAGGAGTGGGCAAGTGATGGGCCAACTTTGCTGCCGATTTCACAAGAAGGCAATGAGATCTAGATGACCTCATTTACTCCAGATGCCAAAGCTCCAACTTGCCTAAGCCTGGGAAAAAACCATCTCAGTGGCTTTCACCAAATGGCAAATAAGTTTTTTAAGATGAAGGAAGCAGCAGCTGCCACTGAGCCTCCAGAGAAGAGTTGGAGAACAATTACATTCACTTGGCACTGTTTACTAGAACTGGAGAGGCATAGGCTGGGAGGAGGAGGCTGAGCTGGAGGGGGGTGATGGAGGCTCATGTCTGCTTCAGAGAAACCTGCACATCCTGAGGGCCAATGTCCTGCTACCTGCCTGAGAGCAAGGTAAGCTCAGCTACAGGGCAGCCTAGGACAACCAGGCAGCTTCCTGGGGCCCCACAGCCTCAATCTTAGCCACCCTCTGGAGACATTCACTGAACAGAAGAAACGAACTACGGCAGACAGACCTTCTGGCTTAGGCAGCTTCCTTTTATCCAAAAGTGCCTATGCCCCCTGCTGCCTGAGTGAGAAACATGAACGTCCCGGGCAGGGCAGGGCAGGGCAGGGCAGGGCAGTTCCCATCCTGACCGGAAGAGCTAGTCCCAGATATGGCTGCTAAAGCATTTTCAGGCTTTTAGTCAGATGAGGAACACATAGGAAAGCCACTCCACCTTGCAGCTGCCCTTCAGTCTAAGAAAACAAACCCTGGCAAAAAGCCTCTTTTAGTTCTCTCTGGCCCAACCTCCCTGCCTCGCCTGCACAAGGCAGAAAAGAGCTAAGGAGAAGCCAAGGGCAGGCATGGAAAATAGAGCTGACCTACAGACCTCCAGCCTTTTTTGACTTCCTTTTTACAAATAAACAAACACATGCCCAGAAAAAATGGAAGCTAAGCCTGAAGCTAAGAGTAAAATGGAAACTCCATTCTTTCCTTCCTTCCCCCATTCCACACATCAGCTTATTGCAGAGTTTATATTGGCTCTTTTAGGCAAGAGCATTTGGAGCATGGGAGGCACTAGAAAGAATCTCCATTGCCTGGAAATATTATCAAAAGATATGTGAGAACTCACACACAAGCCTGAACTTACTCATCCATCTTCTGATAAACCCTTGCTATAGACCTGAACTCCAAGCCAGCTCTGCTTGAATAAGTCAGCAAAATGAAAAAGCCCAGAGAATAATTCCTTGGAACGGAAGACTAAAGAACAAAGCCAATGGTAGGGGACAAGAGAACAGATTACATACAGTACCTGAGTTGGAGCCTGCAGAGGGAGCCGACAGAGGACTTCTGGGTCAGGGTACCTGGGCACTTCACCAGACCTGTCTGAATGCCAGGACTTAACCTGTCAATATTGCCTGAGCAGAGAAAAGAGCTCTGGCCTCGATAACTGGGCTGGGGGAATGTAGAGAATGGAGTCAAGCATCAAAGTGCTCTTGAGACTAAGGAGATGTCCTCTGACATCTTCCTCCACCCTTTTCCCTGTGAAGCTGAATGGGAACAAGGACAAGACCCCAAAAGAGAGTCAGGAGACCTGGATAAGACAGATGATAACCTCTACGGTCTCTTCTGGTTCTAACATTCTACTTTGTGATATGTGCTGTAAGTCTACCATGAAGCTGGTACCTGTGACTGCCATGGTTGAAAGGTTAGGATAAAAAAAGAGGGACCCCAGTGAAGACCATATGGATCATTCAGCTGACACAGAGGCAAGACCAAGTAAGAAAACTCACTTCAGAGGGTAGTCTCTGTATCTCTTGTTCTATTCTCTTACTCTTAGGACCCTAAAACTCAGGCCTGAGGCCTGCCCATCCCAAGTAGAAGTCCTCGCCACTTGAGTACCTGAATTAATCATCAAATCTTGGCCAGGTTCGGTGGCTCAGCCTATAATCCCAGCACTTTGGGAGGCTGAAGCGAGTGGATTGCCTGAGCCCGTGGGTTCAAGACCAGCCCAGGCGACTTGGTGAGGTGATGTCTCTACAATAAATGAAAAATTAGCCAGAAGTGGCAGCGCACGCCTGTAGTTCTGGCTACTTGGAAGGCTGAGGCGGAAGGATCTCTGGAGCCTAGCAAATCGGTGCTGGGGTGGCTGTGAGTGTGCCACTGCACTCCAGCCTGGGTGACGGAGTCAGACTCCAACTCAAAAAAAAAAAATTCAGATCTTGGTATTGGCTGAGCTGAAAGCAAACTGACCTGCAGAGTGGGCATTCAGCCCCACATCTTTCTGGAACAGAATGCAAGACAATAATTTATGATCAAGGAAGGATTCACTGGCCCCTTTTTACTTCTTTCTGACTACATGCCTATGGCAGGATTCGCATTAAGACTCCAGTGTTGTGGGTATGTCCACTCAGATGACAGAAGGGGACCTATGGAAGAGTAAAAAATGAAGCAGGCAAGAGTGAGCCACACCTTGAACTTCTAGACTCCTCTCCTCTTACACTCAGGCCAAAGTAGCCCTAGACCTATAGTGGTCTCAGGCCCCTGAAATTTAGAGGAAACCAGAAGAAAATCTGAAATACTCTCATACCAGGGCAATAAAAACACAAGAAGGAATGGGATCTTGATTGCAAGGAACCATTCTAAATTCTAAAGCCACTCTACATAAGCTTCATCAAGAGATGGCTAGGCTCTCTGAAGTTCCCCATGCTTGACTGAGAAGGAAGGAAAAGGAAGAGACCGAGCTGCCTCATCACTCCTTAGAAACCTTGGGTAATCGGTACAATCTAGTCTTCCAAACTGTCTCTTTCCTATCTTCTGTGGTCCAAAATCCTTATAACATAAAGCCACTGAACTCTTTCCTGACTCTGGGTCTCAAAAAAGAAAAAAAAGATGATACGGTTAACCAGATACATCTTCAAAGTTGACCACTTTTTATTCCCTAACTCAATTCTTACTCATCTTTTTGCCCTATCTCCACAGAGGTTGTTTGCAGAACTCAAAGCACAGGCAGATCACGGGTTATAGGCAAGTAGGTTGCTCGCCACTTACAAATACCTTCAGCATCATGGAGGAGGCTGTGCTCTGAACTCTAATGCTTTTGCTTTTAGAAAAGGTCCATGCTTAGAGGTAAGTTAGTTAAGGACAGATGCTCTTCCCTAAGTTCTCTTTCTCATCTCAATAAACCATGCCTTAGAGAGACTGAAGACAAGAAAAGGAAGAAAATATTACAACAAAATCTCAGCAACCCCAGGCTACACTGTCTTTTAATTGAGCTGGCTGGATCTTTAAGACATAATATCATATGGTTACAGTAAGAATTCAGTGGCCATGCTAAAACCTACCTTAGTGACTGGAGAGACTAGGAGCCAGCCAGCCCAGCACACCATACTCACCACGCCTCCCTTGTCCCCCTCCATAAACTGAATGATCTGGCAGGAAGATTTCTCCCAGAGGAAGATGTGCCCGCAGTCACTACCGCTCACCACAAACTCACTCTTGGGGCCATAGAAATTAACACCTTTTACTGAAATGATACATGAGAGAACAAACCACATGAGGGCTGTCATCAGGTCTATTTATATTTATCTTGCAAGGAATTCAGTTATTCATAAACTCTAAATCAGCTGAGAACCAAATAATTCTTTTCATTTTCACAAAACAAATCAAGAGATTATGCAGGTATAATATATAGCTATAAGAATCACACCAGTCCCAAAGACTATTGATTTTCTCCCCAAGAGCTCCACAAGGCAGAGCGTCCGCAGTCCGGTAGCAATAGCCTCAGTCTCATTAGTCAATACCTATCAGGCAACCACAGGCCTCTAATGTCTTACCTGTCCCACCTGAATCACCCAGCTCTGCCCACTCCTAGATAACACTGTCCTATGCCCTAGGATTATCCTCGATATGTATACTTCATTGGTACTTTGTCAGCGTTTCTTGGGTCATTGGTTGATATGAGACTGATGAAGGTATATGACACAACTGCCCATAAGAAGCAAGTGAGATGGCCGGGCACAGTGGCTTTTGCCTATAATCCCAGCACTTTGGGAGGTCACAGTGGGAAGACTGCTTGAGCCCAGAGGTTTGAGATCAGCCTCAGCAACATTGCAAGACCTCATCTCTACAAAAAAATCAAAAAATTAGCCAGGCCTGTAGCCCTTGCTACTCTGGAGGCTGATACGGAAGGATCAGCTGAGTCCAGGAGGTTGAGGCTGTGGTAAGCTGCGAGCATGCCTCAACTCAAAAACAACCTCGACTCAAAAACAAGAGAAGCAAGTGAGCTGTGCTTGCTAACAGGACTCTGAATAATGAATGGGCTTCACTCTCTGGAATGAGTAAAAGAAGCCCAGAGTTCCAAGTACCACAGCCAGTATAATACTGGCTATCAGACTGGCACCCTTCTTTTTGTGTATCTGTGGACTTGAGATCCAAGAACAAATTTTTCCCTCCCTTCTCACCAACTCAAGAAAAAAAGGAAAACTAACCGCTAACTGCTGTCTCTAAGTCAAAATTATGACAGATATCTGTTAAGAGTCATAACAACAAAAAAGAGCAGTGACTCTCCAACTTTTCTGTACATTAGAATCACACGGGTAATTTTTTAAAAGTTCAATGCTGAAGTCACACCCCATACCAATTAAATCAGAATGTATGAGGTTAGCCAAGCACAGTGGCTCACACCTGTATTCCCAGCACTTTGGGAGGTGGAGGTGAGAGGACTGCCTGAGTCCATGGGTTTCAGACCAACTTGGGCAACTTAGTGAGACCTCGTTTCTACAATAAATAAAAAAATTAGCTGGGTGTTGTGGGCACATGCCTGTAGTTCCAGCTACTTGGAAGGCTGAGGCAGCAGGATCACCTGAGCCCAACAGGTCGAGGCTGTGGTGGCCGTGAACATGTCACTGCACCCCAGCCTGGCAACAGAGTGAGTGACTCCAACTCCAAAAAAGAGAGAATGTATGGGGTTAAGACCAGGCAGTCTTATTTTTCAGAAACTATCAGCTGACACCAGTGTGCCCCACAATTTGGGAACCATGGACATGGAACAAAAAAGGTCAATCTTTATTGCAATCTTGTGCTAGATAATATCACCATTCCTTTTCCTCTGCCTCATTCAAAAAAATCATTTACTCTTCCCTCCCTAGAGGCATTTACTCCCACTTCAGACTCCCCAACAAGCTATTAGTGAAATTACCTGAAATAATAAGAATAAAAGTCAGACTAGTCTCCTTATGCTCAAACCAAACAGAAGCAATGTCACTGCATTGGTGAGATGCTCTTGAGTCCTGTCTTTTTTCTTTCTTTCTTTTTTTTTTGAGTAGTAGTCTCACTCTGTGCCCAGGCTGGAGTGCAGTGGCACACTCATGGACACCGCAGCCTCAACCTGCTGAGTTCAGGTGATCCTTCTGCCTCAGTTTTCCAAGTAACTAGAACCACAGGTACTAGGTACTACTTTTTTTTTTTAGTTGCAGAGAAAAGGTCTTGCCAAGTTGCCCAGGCTGGTCTCAAACCCCTGAACTCAGGCAATCCTCTTGCCTCTGCCTCCCAAAGTGCTGGGATTACAGGTATGAGCCACTGTGCCTGGCAAGCCCTCTCTCTTCTAACATAGTAGAAAAAACATGAAAACTTCACCCTAATTCAGGACAACCTCTCAGTGCCCATGGCAACATAGGCTGCCTACTCCTTGGTAGTTCCCATCTGTACAACCCGAATGATGCTGTACAGATTTGGGCCACAGAAACCTAGAGAGGCAGTCTCACCTGTGGCATTATTTCTGTGGCCCTTGTATCTCTTAACATACTGGGCCCCATCACTGTGAGAGGAGTTGAAGAGGTAAATGTCTTCATCATTGTAACTGGCCAGGAGCTCTGCCAAGAACAAGAACACAGCAGTGAAGGCAAAGGCTGAAAAGAGCAGGGACCAGGAGTTGGGGGTCGGGGTGGGGCTTCTTGCCAGTAGTGCCCCCTCCAAATACCCAGGTAAAGCACCCATCTTACTTAGTTGGAACAGCAGGCAAGTCAGACTGTACAGGGTAGACTAGGAACACACTGCCAACCCAGGGGTAGCAGAATGCTCAAAAAGATCATACCCATTAACTCAGCAATGAGCCAAAGGCATAAGAACTTGATCAGGCAAGTAGCCTGGGCTTCAGGACAGGCCTCGCCAAACATTATCTGCAGCATTCTGCAAATGGTGCCTAGCATCTCCAAGGGTCCTCTGCTGCGTCCTCCCGCTACGTGCTCACCATCAGCTGTTGCTTCCCAGTTGCTCCACTTGGAGCTATAGCACAGTGGTGAGCACTGGCGGGCACATGCCTCACTGGTTCAGCAGCTCTCTAGACAGAGGGGGCATGCCAGCCTAGGAGCTGGGCCCTGCTCACGTACCTGTGCCGTCGTGGCTGTACACAAGACAGGTGATGTTTGCTTTGGACTCACTGTTCACCTGCAATAAGGAGCAGATACTGACTGATGCCCCACCCCCCCCATTTATTATACCATCTTAAGGAAATAGGTTTCCTTCAAACTCCCCTGTATCTTCTCCCAGAGATTGAGAGAGTGAAACAGACAGACAGAGACAGGATACAGCCAATGAAACGTGACCACCTACGGGGGAGCGTCTCAGGGCCTTCCTTCGGTTGTCTTCTGTGTACTAGCCATTTTATATACACTGTCTCATTAGGCCTCACCATCAAGGTTCAAGGCAGTTATTTTACCTCTATTTTGCCAATATAAAAACAGAGGCTAACAGGTGAAGTGACTGCCCAAGATCACAAAACTGGTTAAGTGGTAAAGTCAGGATTCAAATCCAGATGACTGGCTTGGAAATCCAAGCTCTTCTCACCATACCAACAAGTTCAGGTGCAGCCTTGGGGTTGAAGGAGGGAAGCCTGAAGTAACTGGCCCTTCATGAATCTTACCAGGTGATGAGGACAGAATTTCTTGAGTACTCCATTGTTCTCATTCTCATCAATTTTCCTCTGGTCATAAATCCTGTAGTGGAAGAAGCAACGAAAAGGTCAACATTTATGAACTGATCCCCTGAAGAGCTGCAATTTGATGTAATGGCAGGAAGCAGCCAGTTGGATGCAGATAAAGGGTATTTTCCCAACCACACTTCTGGTTCATGCTCTTCCTTCAAGGTCCTCCCTTCCCCAATCCATTGCCAAACCCTAACTCTTTCATCCAGGCACCTCCCATTTTAAGTGTGGCTCCTCAATTCTCAGTTTGAAGTGGTTTATCTTTCATCTCAACTTTTATCATTGCCGATTTTCACTGAAACAACTAATACGATTAAAGAGTGTCTTTTTTTTTTTTTTCTTTGAGTTGGAGTCTCACTCTGTCGCCCAGACTGGAGTACAGTGGCACGCTCACGGCCATCCCAACATCGACCTGCTGAGCTTCGGCAATCCTTCCATCTCAGCCTTCCAAGTGGCTGGAACTACAGGCACGTGCTACCACTCCTGGCTAGTTTTTTATTTATTGTGAAGATGAGGTCTTGCCAAGTTGCCTGGGCTGGTCTCAAACCTGCAGGCTCAGGCAATCCACTCGCCTCAGCCTCCCAAAGTGCTGGAAATACAGGCTGAGCCACCGAACCCGGCTTATAGAGCATTTTATACGTATGTTACCTAAAACAGTGGGTCTCCAATCCATCCTGAACACCTTGTTATTTGGCCAGTTCTCCCTCTAATACCCCACAACAACTATTACAAACCACCACCTATCTCCTTCAAGACCCCTTCTTCTTTCTTCATCCCCATCAAGCAAACTACCTGCATCTTCTCTCCAATCTAAACTTTAAATTCAAATATTTATGACACACATACTATGTGCCAAGTATTCTGCCAGGTGCTGGAAGTATAGTGTGAAAGAAGACAGATCCAGTGCTTGTATTCACCCATCAGTCTCCTCCAGCCTCAGAGCCTCTGTCTACAATTGGTCTTAATTTCATCCTTCTGGAGACCTTGTCTGATTGACCAGTTTATTTCTCAGCCTCTTCCTCAACACCATCTACCCACTTTCTAAAAATTCTTCTACTGACCATCCTTTCTTACTATTGCTTTTTCTCTCCATTCCTCTTACAGTCAAATTACTGAAAGGAACAATCAACATTCAATATTTTTACTTTCTTACTTTCTATTCACTTCTCAGCCCATCCCAATCTAGCTTTGACCCCTCAGCTCACCTCTGAAACTCTCTGGCTCACGTTGTCAGTAACCTAATTGCCAAAGTCAACAGATACTTTTCGCTGGGCATGGTGGCTCACACCTGTAATTCCAGCACTCTGGGAGGTGGAGGCAAGAGGATTGCCTGAATCCAGGGGTTCAAGACCATCCTGGGCAACATGGTGAGAACTCATCTCTACAATAAATAAAAAAATTAGCTAGGCATGGTGGCACATGCCTGTGATTCCAGCTACTTGGAAGGCTGAGGCAGAAGGATCACTTGAGCCCAGCAGGTTTAGACTGCAGTGGCCAAGTGCTACTGCACTCCAGCCTGGGTGACAGAGTGAGATTCCTACTTAAAAAAAAAAAAAAAGAAAAGATACGTTTCAAGTCTTTTTCTCTAGCTGACACTGTTCATTGATCCTTCCCTTAAACACCTTCTTTTCCTTGATGTCCAACCACTCCTCAATGTTGTTCAAGAGCTTGTCTTTCTTCATCCACTCAAACACTGATGTTCTCCAGCAGCCTAGTTTTGAGCTCCCATTTGATGCTATACTAGGGAATTTTAACCTTGAAGGAATTTCTGTAGGCTAGGAGTGAAAGTTATTTGGTCCAAATTGTGCTTATGTGCATTTTTCTGGGGAGAAGGGACCACAGTTTTCATTATAGTCTCAAAGAGTCAGAGACTCAAAAGGGGAAGGGAAAATCCTACCTTATACTTTTCCTTTGGTGATCAAATTCCCATTATCAATGCTTTAACTACAGACTTCAATCTGTGTCTCCAAACACACTTATTATGAGTTCTATCTAGACTTATACTTATTTGACAAATTGATGTATTATAATATCCACAATATTATATTATGTATAACACTGGGATATTCAAGAGTATACTCATTCTCCTCCAAAACTAAACTCTAATTCTAAACATATCCTTCTCTCCCAAATCTGTTAATATCACTGCCCTAAATTCAAATGGCCAACTCAGAAATCAGGTCCTCTCTCTCTTCTATACAGTTCATTTCTTTCCTGTCCATTCTGCTCCCTGGGTTTTTTGTTTTGACTATGTCTGCTTTCTCCACCTACTGTCATTTTTTGGCCTAGATTACTATAGTTTCCTTTTTTTAAAATTTATTTTTAAAATGTGGGGTACAAATGAGGGTTAGGTACATAAGTAGTCATCATACAGGTAAAGTGTGGGCACTATAGTTTCCTTCTAACTGACTTTCCTTGAACATATCACATCATAGCTTGCTACCTTACTTTTATAATGATCCCTCTACCTGAAATACTAAGTCCATTTGTCTTTAATACTTCCTCTGGGAGAAAAAAAACTGCATATAGTTTCTACTGTGTTAAAGTAGTCTGACCTGACTTCAAATAATAACTTTGATACTTACTGGCTAAGTAATACTGAGTAAGTTACTTAATATCTTTGATCCTTATACATCTGTTTTTCTAAAACATTCCTTAAAGGCAGAGACTATGTCTAGCTGAGGGTATACCTGGCAGAATAGATGCTTAGTAAATGGTGGATGAATGGATGAATGGCTCACTATATCACTACATTCCCCACAATCTCTTGCTTAATATCCAGCATAAAGAGACTACCCAAGAAATGTCTGCTAAATGGTACCCAACCCCCCCCAAAAGAGGAGATGACTGCACTACCAATTAACTACGCTTCAGCAAATTTACCAGCTGACAATCAAGTTTTTTTCTCTTAACTGCTTAAATTGGAAGCCCTAAAAAGTCACTAGGCCATCATAAACCAGCAAATCAGTAAAAAGTAGTTAAATATTCAAGCCCCATGGAGTGTTTTTTGGTATACAAACCATTCTGTGTTCCTCAGGTTGGAATGCAGTGGCACAATTATGGCTCACACTGCAGCCTCAACCTCCTGGGCTCAGACAATCCTTCCACCTCAGCCTCCCAAGTAGCTGGAACTACAGGTGTGTGCTGCCATGCCCGACAGAAAAAAATTGTTTTTGTAGAGACGAGGTCTTGCTATGTTGTCTAGGTTGGTCTTGAACTCTTGGGCTCAAGCAATCCTCCATCTCCCTAAGTGCTAAGATTACAGGCATAAGCTACCATGCCCTGCCTGTCCTTTTACTTTATAGAGATATTCTAATTTTCCTTCCTCTTTCTTCCATATTGATTAATAATCTTCTATAGTATAGCTATGATGCTAGACCAAGGGTTTGTAAACTTTCTCTTAAGGAACAAGACAGTAAATTTTTTAACCTGGCAGACCATCTAGTCTCTACTGTAACTACTGTAACTACCCAACTCTACCATTGTAGCATGAAGGGCAAGCAATATGTAAGCAAATAGCTGTGGTTTTGTTCAAATAAAACTTTTATAAAAAACAAGCAAGCTGGGTTTGGTGGCTCAGCCTGTAATCCCAGCGCTTTGGGAGGTTGAGGTAAGTGGATTGCCTGAGCCCGCGAGTTCGAGACTCGCCTGGGCAACTTGGCGAGACTTCATCTCTACAATAAATCAAAAAATTAGCCGGGCGTGGTAGCGCACGCCTATAGTTCCAGCTCCGCGGAAGGACTGCCAGAGCCCAGCAGGTCGAGGCTGTGGTGGCCGGGAGTGGATACTGCACTCCAGTCTGGGAGACAGAGTGAGACTCCAACTCAAAAAAAAAAAAACACAAAAAAAAACCAAGCAGTACAGGTTGCCAGTCCCTGTGCTAGAGAGTAGTAACAGAAAGACAAATACAAATGTTTCTGCTATTTTCTGAGCACATGACAAGGCCCAGATATTTTAAATTACATGAAGAACAGTTTTAGCACTTTCTCAACACCTTTACTCCATAGGCCTTCAGAAGCAAAGGGACTAATTATTGACTGTGCTTTATGAATCAGGGCCTATAGCAAATCCTTTAGCAATAAATAGACATGTCAGCTAACTACACTGCCAAATCCACCACCACAGAATCCATCTCATACATTCTCCTTTTCTCTATTCCTGTAAATCCTTAAACTAAGCTGAGCAGGATTTAGTAGTAGGGACTCACATCCATACCTCCTCCACTAGCCAACTTTCTTCTCTTTTTGGGGGGAGGCCACAGGCCAAAGACATGTCACCCCAAAGCTTCCCTTAAATGCTTCTTCACAATTCTAAACTAAAATTTCATATTAACTATGCAAAAGCCTTGAGAATAAGTAAGCTAATTTCTCCATAATTCCTTGAAGGAATTTCTTTAGGCTAGGAGTTAAAATTATTTGGTATTATTATGAAATATTCAGTACAAATGTCTTAAAATGTGTGCCAGAAGATGAGTTCTTCAGGTTCTTTCAAAGAAAGAATAAGAAAAGAGAAATCCCAAAACATTTGATTGACTGAGCTGAAGAGGTGCAGAGAAGTTGAGGGTAACCCTAATGTCAGAGAAGAGCTGGAGTGGTGGAAGATATTTACTAATGTACTTTACTTGGCTTTACTCAAATCTTCATGTGCTTCTGCCAAGTCAACAGCCTATTATCTGCTGAGAACTTGGGATGTAAAAAAGGACACAGGATACTGAGGCTAACAGGAGACAGGAAATCGACTATTTCTCCTTGTGCTGAAACTCTAATCCTGGGAAAGCTTCAGCTTTGGCATAAGGCATTATCTAGCTGGGTATGGAAATGCACGCCTGTAGTTCCAGCTACTTGGAAGGCTGAGGTGAAAGGATCACCTGAGTCCAGCAGGTCGAGGCTGCAGTGGCTGTGAGTATGCTGCTGATATTCCAGCCTGGGTGACAGAGTGAGACTACAACCCCCCCGCAAAAGGAATAAGGCATTATCAACTACACTTCTTAATACAGCAAACATCTCCATTCCTCTCCAGACATCTTGGTCCTAGTGGTTAAATTCTTTAGAGACATAGACTTGTCAAGCAATCTAGAACTCCAAGCAGAAAATCCCAATTAGAAATTTCAGTGACTGCTCAATTTGAAGGAGGCGGCAACTGAAAGTTTGCACAACGCTTATGGATCAACAGCTTTTCAGAAAAAAAAAAATCTGCATCTACATATGTAAGGACTAATGTCTAGAGGAAAGGAATTTTGAAGGCAAGAGAACGGGGAAGAGAGTACCAAGTTTTGATCAGGATTCTTGAATAAGGTAAAGTCTTTGCTCATATATTTTCTAAAAACGTATCCTACCCCATGATTCTTATTAATAAAATCAATTCCAAAATACAGTTAGGAAGATGATATTTTTCACCCATCATAAGAAAGCAATAAAGCATTCATTTTTCTTTTCTTTTCTTTTTTTTTTTGAGTTGGAGTCCTTCTCTGTTGCCCAGGCTGGAGTGCAGTGGCACTCCACCTGCAGCCTCCACCTGCAGAGCTCAGGTGATCCTTCTGCCTCAGTCTAGCAAGTAGCTGGAACTATAGGTGTGTGCCACCATGCCTGGCTAATTTTTTTAATTTATTGTAGAGATGAGGTCTTGCTATGTTGCTCAGGCTGGTTTCGAACCCGTGGGCTCACGCAGTCCTCTCGCCTCTGCCTCCCTAAGTGCTGTGATTGGAGGTGTGAGCTACTGCACCCAGCCAACGTTCATTTTTCTAGTGACCCAGCCCCTTCTCTCTTTCAAGCTGATGGTCCCAAATAGATATAACATCACAGACCAACTAAACAGGGATGGATACAGACTATTACTAAGGATCAGAGGAAATTAACTTGTACATATGGGGATTGAATCTATGATGTCTATTTTCCATAGTATGTGCCTCAATAGCCAGTATTACAACAGATGTTTACAGTAACAAAGATATCACTGTATAAAGAAAAGTGATTCAAGACAGTGAAAACCAAAAATGCTCAGTTTACACTGAGTGCTCTCAAATCAAACTAATTCTGAATTCAAAACCAAACTACTTCTGAGTGCTCTCAAACTACTTCTGAATTCAAAACCAGTATTCAAAATTTCTAGTGCATATTCATTTATATGTGAAAGTGGTGGAAGATATTTACTAATGTACTTTACTTGCTGGTAAACCTGGGTTTATTGCCTTAGTTACTATGTGGGGACATTGGTCAATGCATCAAACTTCTTTAAAACTTGATAATCTCTGTAATATGTAAAACCACTCCTCAGAGACTTACATTAGGGAACAGAACACCTCAGAAGGTACTTAAGCTTTTTGAAAGTGGTAAAATATTCAAGATGGTGGTTAACGGATTTCTAGGCAATTCAAACCTCTCCCTAAGGGCGCACCTGGCAGTATACAGTGCCTGAGAGTCTCAAACTGTCAAAGACACAAAATAGCTACAAACTCACCTTACAAACTGATCTCGTCCGCCCACTGCAAACTGGTGGGTGTTGGCAGGATTCACATAGATTGTATACAGGCCCACTTTCTTCTCTTTCTCTTTTGTCACCACCAGTTTCCTTTAAGAGCAGAAAAGCATTCACAGTTATATTCTCCAAAAGATCCAGACAGTTATGGCACGTGAGAGCCAAGAGAGTAATACAGACATGGCTATTAAAAAGCCAAAGAGATGCTCATTCGGAAAGTAAGAAAAAATGCTTTGTTTTGAATGTTGGAACAAGAAAAAGCACATATATTATATAATACTTTGAGGAGTGGGAAAAAACCCATGAAGTCATTTTCTAGTGTTCCTTAAGAAGTACAAGCTAGGCTGGGCACGGTGCCTCAAGCCTGTAATCCCAGCATTTTGGGAGTCCGAGGTGAGAAGATTGCCTGAGTCCATGGATTTGAGACCAGACTGGGCAACTTGGTGAGACCTCATCTCTACAATAAATCAAAAAATTAGCCGGGCATGGTGGTGCATGCCTTTATTTCCAGTTACTTGCAAGACTGAGGTGGAAGGATCACCTGAGCCCAGCAGGTAGAGGCTGTGGTGGCTGGAAGTGTGCCACTGCACTCCAGCCTGGGTGACAGAGTGAGACTGAGACTCTAACTCAAAAAAAAACAAAACAAAACAGTACAAGCTAAAGGTATATGAGCCGGGTTCAGTGGCTCAGCCTGTAATTCTGTGCTTTGGGAGGTTGAGGTGAGTGGACTGCCTGAGCTCGCGGGTTTGAGACCCGCCTGGGCAATTCGGTGAGACCTCATCTCTACAATAAATCAAAAAAAATTAGCCAGGCATGGTAGCTTGCGCCTATAGTTCTAGCTACTCAGAAGGCTGAGGCAGAAGGATTTCCGGAGCCCAACAGGTCAAGGATGCGGTGGCTGGGAGTGGCCACTGCACTCCAGTCTGGGCAACAGAGTGAGACTCCAATTAAAAAAAAAAAAAAAAAAAAGGTATATGAATATCTACTCCTCAGAAGCCTCTGTTTAGCTGGAGTCCAACACAATAACAACCATTCATTAAGACAATACTACCCATACCTCCCATCCTTTATTTACAAACACATCTTCCCAATCACTTGGGAGCAAGAAGTAGAGAAAGAACCACTGGGCTAACAAAGACCTGAAAGCATAGACTATCCCCCAGAGTTCAGAAAAATGACACTTAAAACCCAGCTTAAAAAATGCACACTGAAAACTGACAAGCCACAGTTTTCTAACACAGAGGCAATCCGAAGGAAAACAGCACTCTTGAGATGTTCTGCGCTGAGTTGCCAAGGTTTCCTGCTTCAGCAGTGCTTGGACGGAAGCTGGCGCTTGTCTCCTGCCCCGTTTGGCAGCTCCAAGCCAGCCCTCTGCCACCCCCTCGCCATGCCCTCTGACCACCCCGAGGTCTCTGCTGCCACCGCCGCCCATCCTCAGCTGCCGCCATGACGACTATGTCCACTTTGCAGGTGTGCCAGAACTACCACCAGGACTTGGAGGCTGCCATCAACCGCCAGATCGACCTGGAGCTCTACGCCTTCTATATCTACCTGTCCATGTCACACTACTTTGACAGCGATGATGTGGTTTTGAAGAACTTTGCCAAATACTTTCTTCACCGATCTCATGAGCAAAGGGAGCACACTGACAAACTGATGAAGCTGCAAAACCAACGCGGAGGTCGCATCTTCCTTCAGGACATCAAGAAACCAAACCATGATGACTGGGAGAACGGGCTGAATGCCACAGAGTGTGCATTACACTTGGGAAAAAAAATGTATCAGTCACTACTAGAACTACTACTGGAACTGACAAAAACGACCCCCACTTGTGTGACTTCATTGAGATGCATTACCTGAATGAGCAGGTGAAATAAATCAAAGAACTGGGCGACAACATAACCAACTTGTGAAAGATGGGAGCCCCCGAATCTGGCATGGCAGAATATCTCTTTGACAAGCACACACCCTAGGAAAGAGTGATGACAGCTAAACCTTGGGCTAATTTCCCCATAGCTACTGGGTGACTTTCCTGGTCACCAGGGCACTGCATGCATGTCAGGGTTTCCTTTGCCTTTTCTATAGGTTGCACCAAAATGTTCACTTCAGTTCTTTGATTTGTACATTCCTTCAAATAAAGAAATTTGGTACCACCCCCCAAAAAAAGAAAAAGAAAAAACAGGTTCTTCTTCCCTCATTTCAAGCCAATTAGGAAAGGAGATTCTTACAAGGAGAGTTGATTGTAAGGGCCTAAAAATCATGACTGTAACACAAGAAAAGTGATCCTAAGGAGAGTATGGGACCCTGAGAACCCCCCGGAAAACTGCAGAAGTTTAGCTAGATTTGTTCCAACTTAAGGGTAGCATTAAGAATATTCTTCCCAACTCTAAATGTTCAACCAGTAAAATATGACATCATCAAGATTAGATTTACACAAAAGGAAAGGCTTCAGGAACTATAGGAAGGGACTTGGCTTTAGCTCTTGTTTTTATTTATTTTATTTCATTTCATTTTATTTTATTTTATTTTTGAGTTGAAGTCTCACTCTGTCACCCAGACTGGAGTGCAGTAGCCGCTCCTGGCCACTGCCGCCTCGACCTGCTGGGCTCCGGCGATCCTTCTGCCTCAGCCTTCCAGTAGCTGGAACTACAGGTGCGTGCTACCACGCCCGGTCAATTTTTTGATTTATTGTGGAGATGAGGTCTCGCCAAGTTGCCCAGGCAGGTCTCAAACCCACGGGCTCAGGCAATCCACTCACCTCAGTCTCCCAAAGCGTGGGATTACAGGCTGAGCCACTGAGCCTGGCAGCTCTTGTTTTTAATTCTAAGGTTTTATTCATTTCTGATGCTATAGAAACAAAGACATATAACCATGATGTCAAGTTTCTTTGTAAAGAAATGATTTTGGCATTCTTTCTGCATGGTCAAAGTCACTCTAGCCTAGAGCTGTTCTACGCAAAGTGGACAGATTTTATTTTTAAAAATCTCTGCAAGCAAAGCATGGTGGCTCATGCCTGTAATCCCAGCACTTCGAGAGGCCAAGATGAGAGGATTGCCTGAACCTAAGGGTTTGAGACTAGCCTGGGAAACTTGGCAAGACCTCTTCTCTACAATAAATCAAAAAATTAGCCAGGTGTGGTAGCATGTGCCTGTAGTTCCAGCTACTGAGGATGAGGTGGAAGGATCGAGATCGCCTGAGCCCAGCAGGTCGAGGCTGCAGTGGCCATGAGTGTGCCACTGCACTCCAGTTTGGACAACAGAGTGAAACTCCTACTCTAAATAAATAAATAAATAAATCTCTCCAGCTTTCCATTAAAAGAACAGAGTATAGAGGTCGCTGAAAACGAATGCCATTAGGGGAAACCCCAGCCCCTCAACACATGCATCTCAAAAGCAGAAGGCAGGAAACATATCAAAAGAATAACACTTTAAAAGCCAGGCTTGGTGGCTCAGCCTGTAATCCCGTGCTTTGGGAGGCTGGGTTAAGTGGATTGCTTGAGCCCGCGAGTTCGAGAACCACCTGGGCAACTTGGCGAGACCTCATCTCTACAATAAATAAAAAAAATTAGCCGGGCGTGGTACCGCGCACCTGTAGTCCCAGTTACTTGGAAGGCTGAGGAGGAGAGATCGCCGGAGCCCAACAGGTCGAGGCTGCGGTGGCTGGGAGCGTGCCACTGCACTCCAGTCTGGGTGACAGAGTGAGACTCCAACTCAAAAACAATAAAAAAATACAAAAATAAAAAGAATAACACTTTGAGGAACAAAACTAGCTAAGATGAGACAACTCTAATCTGGTGACAGACAGGGAAGGGGAGTGGAGCTGGTGTTGCTCCTTTCCACAGGACTATCTCATTTCTCCAGCTATTTGAATCTTCAGAAGGACAGGGTCAGATGAATACAAAGAAGCAAAATGAAGAAACTTAGGGATAGATTATGAAGTGCTGGTTCCACAAGTATGTCATCCTGACAAAGAGCTCAATCTTTCCACGCCTCAATTAATTCTCCTAAAACAAACATTTCTCTCTTCCAGTGGATAAATGCAGAGTACCTTGAGCTCTCTGGGGACACAAAGAGGTGCTATAAAAATGATTCATGACGGCAACAGGAAAGAAAAAATGCAATTTCACATCAGAGAAAACGATATGAAACAAATTCATCAAATTTTGCCTTAAAGTTAATAATGTCCCAGCAAAAAGGGAAAAATAATTACAGATTAGTCCAAAGTATTCCTTTGAAGAATACCTCAAACTGGCTTCCACCAGCTAAAGGAATATCCCATCCACAGTTTCAAGTTAAACTCTTTTCCTAAGATTTTAGGAAATTTTATCAGTTCCTAGAGATTCAGCTATCATATACAGAAGGTGCCAAAAAAATTATACATATTTTTAAAAAGGGAAAAAACTATTAAAATTGTAATACTCAATATATACCAATAATAAAAGATGAATACAAGTCACATTTGACTTCTGCAATTACACACTGCTACCATAATTAAATTCAACTTCGAAAAGTAATACACGGATAACATCTCTAAAATGTGTGACTTCTGCAATTACACACTGCTACCATAATTAAATTCAACTTCGAAAAGTAATACACGGATAACATCTCTAAAATGTGTTGGCACCTCTGGTATAAGCAAAAGAAAAATCCCCCTGTGCCAACTTCACATGAGAATGTCCTTGACACAAGCCCTCCACCCCATTCCAGCCTGTCACACTACTTTTTTTTTTTTTTTTTAAGTCAGAGTCTCACTCTGTCTCCCAGGCTGGAGTGCAGTGGCACACTCATGATCACCGCAGCCTTGACCTACTAGGCTCAGGTGATCCTTATGCCTCAGCCTTCCAAGTGGCTGGAATCACAGGCATGAGCCATCACATCTGGCGAATTTCTTTGATTTATTATAAAGACGAGGTCTCGCCAAGTTTCCCAGGCTGCTCTTAAACCCCTGGACTCAGACAATCCTCTCGCTTCCGCCTCCCAAAGTGCTGGGATTACACCACACCTGGCTGTCACACTACTTCTTCAATCCTGAAAACAAAAACTTTTTAAAGATTCGCGGTCTTACTCCTCAAACCTAGAATTTGGGCTTCCTTCTACTCTTAGCTTCTTTGATGTTCCTCTGTTTCTTTCCCACTCACCGATCATTGCTTGTGTCCACATCCATGGCCAACTCTCAGACAGATTTTCTGCTTATAGCACTTCATTCCAAATTCAACAAGCTACCAAAATAACTTGCTCTACCCATTACTTGAACCAAATTCCCAATTCCTTGTGATCTAACAACAGATTACTTGTGAACCTGACCTATAGGATCATATCTCATTCTGTTCACAACTCTGCTTTTTTGAGTCGGAGTCTCACTCTGTCACCCAGGCTGGAGTGCAGTGGGCTCAGACAATCCTTCTATGTCAGCCTTCCAAGTAGCTGGGACTACAGGTATACACCACCACACCTGGCTAAGTTTTTGATTTACTGTAGAGATGAGGTCTCACTATGTTGCTCAGGCTTGTCTTGAATTCCCAGGTTCAGACGATCCTCTTGCCTCAGTCTCCCAAAGTGCTGAGATTACAGGTGTGAGCCAGCACATTTCACAACTCTCTTAACACAACAGACCAAGCAAACTCGTCATTTCTTGCATTTCTCCCCATCCCTTCCACTATGGAAAACTTGCTAATGTTCCATTATCACAGAACCCCAACTTTAGAACTGGAAATTATAAACATCTGAGATTACCTCAGAGCTAGGTAACTGCAGAGCTAGTACTAGAACGCCCTTATCACTCAGACTTGTTCTTTCCAACCTTTGATCTCTTGGAGGGTATATAAATACAAATATATCCTTTCCCAAGCCTAAAACAGTTCCATCTTTTAGGCAGTTATTCAACTGTTTAGACACTTTCCCAGCAACATTTTCTGGACTCACGCCTCTAAAAATAAAAGCCTAATAATAATAGCCTCCAGATTACAGTCCCAAACTAATTTGGATTTTAATTGTATTCTATGTAAATCGCTGACATCTCTTACTCAATACTGGTACTAACCTACAAGAGTTGTTATAATACTTTTTTTTTGTTGAGTCGGGGTCTCACTCTGTTGCCCAGGCTAGAATACGGTGGCACAATCAAGGCTCACTGCAGCCTCAACCTCATGGGCTCAGGCAATTCTTCTGCCTCAGTCTCCTGAGTAGGTGTGACTACAGACGTGTGCCACCTTGTCTGGCTAATTTTTTAATTTTCTGGTAGAGACAAGGTCTTGCTATGTTGCCTAGGCTGGTCTCAAACTTCTGGGATCAAAACAATCCTCTTGCTTTGGCCTCCCAAAGTGCTGGGATTACAGGTGTGAGCTACCACACTTGGCCTAGATTTGTTATAATAATTATTAATCCTAGTAAGATAATAAATAATCTATGCCGGGCTTGGTGGCTCAGCCTGTAATCCCGCGCCTTGGGAGGCTGAGGTGAGTGGATTGCCTGAACCTGTGGATTCGAGACCCGCCTGGGCAACTAGGTGAGACCTCATCTCTACAACAAATCAAAAAAATTAGCCGGGTGTGATAGCGTGTGCCTGTAGTTCCAGCTACTTGGAAGGCTGAGGTGGAAGGATCGCCAGAGACCAGCAGGTCGAGGCTGTAGTGGCTGGGAGTGGCCACTGTACTCAAGTCTGGGTGACAGAGTGAGACTCTAACTCAAAAAAAAAAAAAAAAAAAAGGATAATAAATAATCTAGATATTCATCAACAAGGTAGTGGTTAAGTAAACAGTGGTACACCAATGCTATGACATATTTACTATAGTTAAAAATGAGGTAGGCTTTTATGGTCTGACATAGAAAAATCTCTGAAACATATTATAACATAAAAAAAGCAAATTGCTGAAACATACTTATGTGCATGTTTACATATATATACAATTATCCCATTTATGGGGAAAAGTGTATATGTATATACTCAGGTACATGAATGTATACAAAGGGAACTAAAAAATTGTTCAAAATTACTAACAACGGCTACCACTAACTAGAAGAATATAGAGGGTGGGATCATAAGGGAAAATTTACATTTTGTTCATAAACTTTCTTATTTGATTCTCTTAAACACGATGTATTTGTTTATTATAAGAACAATAAAAATAAAAAAGGAAACTAAAATAATTATAATAGTAGCTACGATGTAATAAGTTCCATGGTGCTAGACACCCAAATGGGGTGTCAAATGTTTTAATAATCCTCACAGAAACCCAAAGAGAAGGAGAGAGGAAGGGGGGGAGAGGGGGAGGGGGGAGAGAGGGGGAAATGAGGAAAATAGGGCAATATGCCTCTAGTAAAGCTGAAAAAAGTAATGTCCAGAAGGCTTTATAAGTAAGTCATAACTAGAAGTGTCTGAATTGAGATTTGACCCTGGTCTGCCTGAACCCAAGCAAGATGCTATGTTCTTTCCATGACATCACACATTCATTCATTCGTCTGAGTCTCACTCTGTTGCCCAGGGTGGCACGCTCACGGCCACTGCAGCCTCAACCTGCTGGGTACAGGTAGTCCTCCTGCCTCAACTTTCTAAGTAGCTGGAACTACAGGCATGTGCCCGGCTAATTTTTCTTAACTTATTGTAGAGACGAGGTCTCACCAAGTCCAGGCTGGTCTCGAGCCCCTGGGATCAGGCAACCTTCTCGCCTCCACCTCTCAAAGTGCTGGGATTACAGGCATGAGCCACCACATCTGGCTGGCTTCACACATTTAAAAAGGGGTAAGATTTACCTGTGAGTTTCAAATTCATGTCATGAGCTGTGATACACTGGAACTCTATTATAGTTATCAATATTTTTTCAAGATTTATCATTTAATTGTTAGTATGTTTTTATACATAAATGATCTGAAAACTTACAGGATCCTATCTCTAAGTTAGTTTATAGAATAATATGCTTTTTTTTTTGAGTTGGAGTCTCATTCTCGTCACCCAGACTGGAGAGTGCAGTGACATACTCATGACCACCCGCGGCCTCAACCTTCTGGGTTTAGGCAATCCTTCCGCCTCAGCCTTCCAAGTAGCTAGAACTAGACACACGCCACCACACCCAGCTAGTTTTCTTGTGATTTACTGTAGAGACGAGAAGTTGCCTAAGTTGGTCTCAAACCCCCGGGTTCAGGCAATCCTCTTGCCTCGGCCTCCCAAAGTGCTGGGATTACAGGCTGAGCCACCATTCCTGGCCCGAATAACGTGCTTTTTGAGGGTAAGCTGAATGACATGCAAGTGAATGGAGAGTAGAAGATCATCAAGTTTTTAAAGGACACACAGAATAAGATAACTCTGAGAAATTAAGGTAGACTGAATGGTATTTTACTGCTGAGACACAAACAGAGCAAGGAATTACCTTAAACCTTAAACTATCTCTTGTCACAGACAAAAGGTACTATCCTGATGGACTACAGAGTTAGGCATTACCAGGATACATGAAATATTTTAAAGGCCAAGGGATACATTTCTATAAAGTATCACTGCTATGCTTACGAAGCTGGGCGGTCTTGTCTCAGGTCAATAGTGAAGACAACTGCATCTTCACCTGCAGATAGGAACGTACAAGGAGAGTCTGGTTCCAGAGCCAACTGAAGAAGAAAAAGGGAAAAGATGAGGTTTCTAAAGATTAGAGTTAGAGGTCATCTAGTTCATTCCTTTAATTTTAGGAAGGTCTGTCTTTAAAATGTTTCAGCAAGAGAAATGTCCACCGTTTTTCTCATAAAATCTCAGGAAAGGAGATAATTCATGCCCACTCACTCTTGTTTTGTGCAACTTATTTACAGCTTTGTTTATTCTACACAAGTCAAAGGACAGGTGATTTGCTATTTCAACTAAGTTCCCAAGGGATACAAACAGACATAACAAAGAAAAATATTGGCTGTTTGAGTTCATTCTCAAATAATATCAATCCCATACCCTCAAAGTGCCTAGAGAAATAGTGCCCAAGTTTCGTTCCCAACAACTTAGTTCTAAAAATTAGTTATCTAGTAGGTTGGGGTAGGCTTATGAAGCAAAGAAACAGGTGTTTTTCAAATTTCCTGAGCCATCTGGGCTAGAAAAGGATACTCTAGGTCCACCCACATGTTTGCTTAAGATTAGGAAGAAAGTATCATCCTCTTCATGGCATGGAATAACACTATGCTTACCCTGACCTGAGAATGGGCTGCTCGTATCTCAGTGGTTATCATCATAACTATTTGGCCTATATTTTCAGGTCTCAACAGGCTTCCAGAAATAGTGCTATTTGTAAGCTGAGAGTTGAGAGCAAGAAGGGGGACACTCTCACACATAAGAAACCAACGACTAGTACCTTGAACCTGCTAAAATGCTCTAATAGCAATCAGAGTAAACTTAAGACATTTGGAGGGCAAATAAGAACTTAAGGATCTCCAAACTAACCATGGTTCAGCTTAGGGGCTAGGTGTAATCACATCAATGCTACAAGTGCATGATCTAGGGATGTCTCAAACACTTGCCCTATAAGAAGTTTAGAGTGACTACTTTTGCCCTCTTAACTAAAATCTTAGTACTGAAAGAAGTGAGGCAGGTGACCACAAAAAGGTGACACAATGGGCACAGATAAAGGTGTATCTTGGCTGAGATCCACAGAGGATCTGGACCACACAAACTTTGGAGCAAGAGTTTACTCACTTTGTGGGACGCTCCCTTGTGCTGGGCCACACGTTTTGTATTCTTGCAGCATTGTGTGGCAGACAGTTCTGCTACCCGAACCTGCCCATCACGGGCACACATGGCCAGGGTGGAATCACCACTGTTAGGAAGGAACTTGGCCTGGAGTGTTAAGAACAACAACAACAAAAAGGACACACAAAAGAAATGGAAGAGGTAAACTTGAGAGGAAAAAATGAAATGACTCCAACTCACCCCCTTTTCTTACATGCTATCTGGAAACTTAACTTTCCTACACTTGTTCAGCTGGCTAAGTCAATTTTTTTCTCAGGAGTTAAAGAAAAAGGAGAGAAAGAAACTTCCCCTGATGTATGAAAGCATTTCGGTTGGCTCTAGATGTAACTGGTACATAAGTGCTCAGATGAACTAGGACTGTACCTAGTATAGGAGAAAAGAAAAAGAAGGAAAAATCTACCTTGATTCAGGAAGTAAACATCAACTTGCCACAAAAAATAAGGAAGCTAGGGAGGATGCTGGGGAGGGAAAGAAAATGTGTTTAGGGATAGAGCCAGTGCCAAGATGGTAGATGGGGGAAGAGTAAAATAGAATAACAACAGTATTAGCTAATATCCACCAAATGTTTACGTACCAGCCACAGCACTAACCACTTAGCTGTTATTGCTATTTAATCCTCATAACCCTATATGTTATTAGCTCCATTTTACAAAAAAAAAATAAAGAAAAAGGTAAAATAACTTGTTCAAGGTCACAGGGCCAGGATTTAACACAGGCAGTTTGGCTGAAGGGCCTTTGCTCTTATTGTACTGCTTCCCACGAGCATACACTTAATACCTTCTTGATTTGTTCCAAGCACCCTACCCATAAGGCTTCCCGCAGTCCTTACATGAAGAAAACAAATGGTACTTAAGTCATGATGGGAGCCCAGGAAGGGCCCTGTCCTGGTGTCTAATTCCTACCACAACTCTCTACCAGCACCCACTCCAGGCAGCACTTTAGATTTGTCTAACTTGAGCCTGATTCTCTCAGTTGCTATCATACTCCCCTGCCTCACCTGGAAGACATTACTTTTGTGGCCGCTCTCAAAGTCCAGGACTGGCTGCCGCCGCACCCAATCCCACACCACCACCTTCAGGTCATCGCTGCCACTGGCCAGCCAGGTGCCGCGCTGGTTAAAGTGCAGGGTATTGACACAACCAGTATGGCCCTCAAGCCCATGCTGCAGACGGAAACGCTGCACAAAGACTCTTGCCCCACAGGCCTCATAAACAAAGCGGGCACTTGAACCCAGCTCCCTCTCCCGAAGGGCAGGAAGGGCCTGCCAGCGAGGTCGGGGAAGGGCCGAAGTTTCTGAGGACACCCAGTCTTCTAAGGCCCGCTCATCATCTGATGAGTCCTGGTCACGGTTGGCCCGCTTGCGCTGTACCCGGCGCCGAGGCTGTTCTTCTTCCTCCTCTTCCTCCTCCTCCTCCTCTTCTTCCTCTGAATGGTCATGCACTCGGTTGTCATCATTGATGGAGTAATGGCCAGTGTCCTCCATGCTGTCAGAGTCCTTGTCTTCGCCTGAGCTCTCTGTGTCTGTGCCACGACTTTCTGTGCTGGTGCGGTTGGGGCCACCATCATCCCCAGTCAAGCTCAAACTCAGATCTGAGGCCTCCACTTCAATGCCAGAGGATGTCTCCCTCCCCTCTTCAGCTCCAGACATCTCCTCTGGACTGCTGGACAGGCTTCCTACATGTTAATAAGGAATAGGTGAGAGGGGAAAAATAAGAAAATAGGATAGTGATCAGAAGAATTTCCCACCTTAGTCTGATAAATCATCACATCAAAAGACCAAGAAATGAACTTCTGTCAAAGTATTTTCATTACAAATGCTTATAAAGAGTACATTCTGAGGGGGAGTCTTATAAAGGACAAGAAATTTAAAAGATTAAGATCCAAGCCACACACAAAAATGCTTCAATAAAAGTAAAGAATCTCAGGACAATCTAAGATTATATGGTAAGTTCTCAAGAAGCAAAGCATGAAAGTGTGCCTAGGCCATCTCTTTGTTAAACTCTGGTGTATCCACATGGCTCTTTGAGCTATGGCTGCCATGTTTCTTGGTTTTGGCCCCCTCTCCTACCGTGGGGAGGTGAATCTCTCTCTAATTTACTTTCTAAATAAACTATATTTTCCAATCTAAAAAAAAAAAAAAGAAAGTGTGTCTAATACAACTACTTAAGGCTCTGGTTCTGTTGGATGGGCGTCCATTAGTTATAGTAAATAATTAAACAGAATATAAGAAAAGAGAGCAAACATTTTCACCAAGGACTAGCATAACCATCTTCTTAGGAAAAGATGGAAAATAAACGGTGAAGCCAGGCTCGGTGGCTCAGCCTGTAATCCTGCGCCTTTGGGAGGCTGAGGTGAGTGGATTACCTGAGCCCGCGGATTCAAGACCCGCCTGGGCAGGTGAGACATCATCTCTACAATTAAAAAAAAAAAAAATTAGCTGGGTGTGGTAGCGCACGCCTGTAATTCTGGCTACTCGGAAGGCTGAGGTGAAAGGATCGCCAGAGCCCGGCAGGTTGAGGCTGCAGTGGCCGGGAGCGGCTACTGCACTCCAGTCTGGGCAACAGAGTGAGACTCCAACTCAAAAAAAAAGAAAAGAAAAGAAAAGAAACAGTGAAAATTACTCTGACTTATGGATGTGGAATTGTATCATTTCCTCTTTTACGAAATCACCACAATACCTCCTATCACCTAAATCCTGTTTCTTCCCCTAAGTTTCCAAAATCCATTAAGAAAGGAAGTTGAAGGGGTAAATAGGAATTGTGATCATTTGATTGAGTTCTTGCTTACCTTTGGAAGTATTCTAACTTACTTCCATTAGTTTGAAAGTCTGAAAACAATTTTTAGGCACAAATTTTTAGCCTCTTTATTGAGACAGAGTTTTATCATGTAGCATATATAAAAACTGATGACAAGCAGTGCCTGAGAAGAAAAGTTCAGTTTATTCCAGATCTGTTATGTTGGTAGTTAAATAACTGGGTCACTTAAAGCAATCTAATCTTCTATAACTAGATACTGTGTTCTCTTACAACAGTCAAATCATATTCCAATGAGCCCTTAGGCAATGTTGTAAAGCCAATACAACCACAACTTCAACCTAACGTCAAGGTATGAAGAAAGGAAGGGGTGAATGAAAATTTTAAACATTGCTCATGGCCCCCTTTCCTTAGATGGCTACAAATTTTATCCTGCTGGAAGTAAAAGCTGTTAGGAAAGACAGACAAGCTGTGTGTCACACCAGAACGAGCTGTTCAACCCCAACACCACACTAATGTTCACAGTTGGAGCACCTAACTGCCCAGTCATCTGAATTGGGGCAATCACTTGTGAAACTCTCTGATACAATGAAAACCCTTTTCAATGAACTCTTAGGCAAAATCCAATACTGAAAACAGATAAACAATACAAGTGCTTTGATTAAAGCAATGACAGAAGGTTGGGAGACACATAAACAGCTCTGGTCAAAAAACAAACATACACCTCAACTAAAAGCACAGTGTGAAAAAAACTGGGCAAGGACCTAAAAGAAAAAGGGAACACTATAGAAATTTGAACCCAAGGCTGGAAGTGGTGGCTCACACCTGTAATCCCAGCACTTTGTGAGGCCGAAGCAAGAGGATGAACTCAGGGGTTCAAGACCAGCCTGGGCAACTAGGTGAGACCTCAGCTCTACGGTAAACAAAAAAAATTAGCCATGCATGGTGGTGCAACCTGTAGTTCCAGCTACATGGAAGGCTGAGGTGGAAAGATTGCCTGAACCCAGCAGGTGGAGGCTGTGGTGGCTGTGAGCAAAAAAAGAAAAGAAAAGAAAGAAATGTGAATCTAAGAACTGCACTTGCTGAGCCTGTTATACATGGTGAGAATGTTTAATAGTTGTTTTTTTTTAAAGGTAATTGGACCCGAGCTTGGGAGTACTGAAAAAGGATAAAGATATAATACCCAACAACTGTGGAAAAGAAAAACAAAACACCCCTAGCATTTACTTTCAAATTACGATTAACAAATTCAGACTACTTTTGGCCCTACCAAGTTTGTACAAGGGCCAGAGTGTATCCCAAGTCCAGCAAGAGGGTTCCAATGGTAAATCACTGAAATCTGGTGCAGGAGTTGGCAAATTTTTTCTGTAAAGGGCCAGAGAGTAAAAATGTTAGGTCTGCCGGGCTCAGTGGCTCAGTCTGTAATCCCACGCCTTTGGGAGGCTGAGATGAGTGGATTGCCTGAGCTCGCGGGTTCGAGACCCGCCTGGGCAACTTGGCGAGACCTCATCTCCACAATAAATCAAAAAAATTAGCCGGACGTGGTAGCGCATGCCTGTAGTTCCAGCTACTTGGAAGGCTGAGGCGGAAGGATCGTCGGAAC